CTGCTGTGGGGCCCAGCTCCACATGGAATTGTAATGGAGCATTGATTTCTGATGGGCTGGTCCCTGCCCTGCTCACACAGGGAACTCAGCTGTCCACCAAACCTGGCTGTTCCCTCTGGAGCTTCCTGCCATGAGTCTCCACAGGGAATCTCCTCTTCCAGAGCTCACCTTTCACGCCCTGGATTGAACCCCCTGATTACCACACTCATCAGCTCACTTCCCCCAGTGAAAGCTTAAGTTCAGTTCCCCTCCACCCGGCAATCCCCCACCACACCAATGGCTACCTTTTGCCACGACTCCAAAAATGTCACCCCTTGGCATCTGACAAGGATTGATTACAGTACCCAGCCCCTGTGAGTCACAGATGCACAGCTACTTGTGTAAAAGGCTGTGGAATTTGCATATAACCCACGCACATCCTCCCGCACATTTCAAATCTTCCCAATTACCTATATCTGATACAATGTAAATGCTATGTAAATAAGTGTATTGTTTGGAGAATAAGGACAATGGGGGAAAGTCTCCATGTTCTGTATGGGTGCAATTTTTTCCATAACATTTTTAATCTGCCTTTGGTTGAATCTGTCAACCCGGAACCTCAGCTACAAAAAGCACAGAGGGTGGGCTATGACTATGAATTAATAGAGGTTTATTCTCTGGTCTCATGTCTGTCCCCAATCCTGTCCCCTCAGGAAGACCCCTGGGCCTAGGAAGCAAACCCATCAGGTCTTGCCTTTGGTGACATGGACCTCACCCCCAAGGCCATCAGAGGCCCTCTGAACACAGGCTCTCCAAGCCAGGCCTCCTGCAGGTAGATCACTGTCAATAAAGGGCTTGTGGCCCACCAGTCCGGCCACTGATGGTCTTCATGTAACCATGGACCAACCTTAAGGAAATAGAAGGCTATTTATCCTAAGGGCTGAAAAAGCAAGAAAACAAATGTACTGACAGCCGTGAGCACAGCTAAAGACCTTCTGCCCCTCCCTGCCTGTGTCCCTCCCTCCCCTAGAGCCCTATCTACTCTGGTGGATCTCAGGACCATGGAAGTATTATCATCACCGGGGAGGAGCTGAGCTTATCCACCTGCCCAAAGGGGCTGGCTCATACTCCCCTCTTCTCTCCCTTGGGCCTCAGCCTTGGCAAGATGATAGATTCAGAACCAGAAGTTGGCACATCCACCAAGTAATTATTGTTTGTTTCCCTTATTTATGTGGCTGAACAACAACTCATTTTCAAACTTAATAGTCAATACCCAGAAAGACAAAACTGCCTTGGTCACTCTTGGGAGATAGCTTGAAGATGTGACGGAAAAACAGAGACAAGAAAAGAGGATCAGAAAGGGCTGCAGAAAAGAACCTGGTGCATTCACAGCCCCTGTTCAGCCCCTGTTCAGGATGGAGCCCCCAGGGCACAGCCCCCAGAAATGGGGCATCCTCTGCCCAACCAGGGGCAAGCCTCACTAGGGCTGGGGCTTTGCCTCCAAACAATGTACACCCCATAGTTGAGGACAAAAAAAGCCTGATAAGCCAATGATGAGGAAGTTGGGGGAAGCAGGCTAAGTGGAAGGGCTGGCTGAGCAACCCAGGCCCTGCAGCCTAGGCAGTGTGCCTATTAACCATGGTGAAATGCTGCCATCTGCTGGTCATTTCTAGAACTCCAGGAGCCTGGGCTTGGGAGTTCTAGAGGTAAGAAATGGGTTTGTCATCACCAAATGCTACAAATAAATAAATACATAAATAAATAAATAAATAAATAAATAGCCAGGTGGGGTAACAAAAGCCTGTAATCCCAAAATGTAGCAGGAAGATCGTGAGTTCAAGGATACATAATGAGTCTGAGACCAGATTGGGCTACTAGAGAATCTCCAAAAAAATTAAAAAGTGATATGAAAGGTAAGAGTGTATGAAATTTTGAAAGAATATAAAATAATAACAATAACAGTGATGGTAGACTCAAGCTTCCAACCAGGTTGGGATGTTGTCATTCACTGCTGTTGCTTCCATGATTTTAATAATATTAATTATAATAATCTCTCAATTATTAATCACTTCCTAGGGCTTGAAAACAGGAGTCTAAAACTCTGTCATCTCTTAGAAGTTTCTTCTTCCATATAGGTGGGACAACGTGCCCAAGGTTGCTATATGAAACAGGCAGGATGCCAGCCCAGGCTGAACTGCTCTGACTATGCAATCTCACCTGGGTCCTCATGTGCAGAAAACTGGACACACCGCTGTCCATCTTCCTAGGTCCCTGATACCCTCCTCTCCCACTGCCTCACTCAGGAGACCGTTTCTGGGTGCCCAGGCCTACCCATGTGTGGAAATTCCTGTTCTAGGACACAATGGCATTGTCCCTTGAGTCCTAGAGGCCCAGAACAGAGTCCAAAGCTTGTAGGGCCCCGGCCTTCTCTTCTGAGTGGAAAGGTTCCTCCTGGGCTGAGGACTCGAGATCTGAATCAGATCTAAAGGAAAGAAGAGGCCATTGGGATGGGGAAAGAGCGCCCTGAGGATGGGAAGCGGTTGCCTGGATCCCAGCCCAGCCTCCATCCCATTCCCTGCCTGTGGACAAGCATATTTCCCAGTTCCTTCCAACCCTCTTTGCTGTGATGGCTGAGAATGGACCCCAGCAATGACCCAATGGAAACATTGAGATAGACTGGGCCCAGAGAGGGTAAACAGCTGGCCCAGATACAAAGACAAGATGGCAGGGCCAGGATGAGAAGTTAGGTCTCCTAACTGCCCAGCTAGAGCATCCTAGCGTACCCTAGTGCAGCCCCATCTTCCCTGTCTGCTAATAGGCACCCGGTGCCATACTCAGAACCTGCTCTGAGTCTGAGATGGATCTGAAGTGACAAATGTCCTGCTTCTGGGAGAGACATTTGCCCTGTGTCCTGGGACCTGTGACAAGTCTGTCACTTTCTCTCAGAGGGAGGTGGCCTGGAAACTGAGAAGAGAGGGTTCCTGGTTGCTTCATAACCACAGCTCCAGAGACAGTGACACTGGTGGATTGATGGGTGGGGGTATTCTCAGTGATATTGAGAGCCCAGAGCTTCCAGATGCTGCTGTCTTCCTACCTTACCTTGCTACCCTGTGGGTGGCAACCTCACTAAGGATAGGCAGTGGGACAGCCGCCCTCCATGACTTTCCCCTAAAGAGCTCTGGCTCCTGACCCCCTCCCTCTTCTGCCGTGGGCAATGGCGACAGGCCCCAAGGGGCTGGGAGTCACTCCGGCCAGCACTGGGCAACTCTGGAAACTTCACTGTATCAAAGTTCCAAAGCATAGGTCCTAGGAAAGGCCAATGGGCTTCATAGCAATAAGTACACAAGGTGGCCTGCTGGGCACTCCTTGGGGACAGTTACTTAGGAAAGCCAGCAGCAAGACTGGGGCTTGGGAAGCAGAGCATAGTGGCAGGTCCCTTAGCAGTGCTGAGGACTCTCTCCAGAGCCCCCATCCCCCTTTCTAGCTCCCCTTTCTTCAGTTCCCAGGGGCCCTTGTGGGAGGTCTGGCTGTTGAGATCTGAAAGCTCCTTTGACCCCATAGGCAGAGGGACAAGGAAGGATGAAGAATGTTGCTGTCCCAGACAGACCAGCTGAAGCTGATTTAGGTACTTTCCACAGGGTGTGGTGTGTGGTGCAGTGGCTGCCTCCCACGCCCCCATCACCATTTTGACAGCCTGGGGTAGAAGGAAGAGTAAGGGCCATTAGAGCAGAGACATATGATGTCCAGGCCCCACCAAGGGAAAGCTTGTCAAATTTGTACTCTGTTCCATCACGCTTCTGACTGGTTTGATCACCTCTTCCAGGAAGCCCTCCATGATTGCCCATCAGGCCTCTCCGGAGCTCAGGGATTTGGGTGTTGTCATTTTCTTCATCTGTACCCCAAGCCCAGGATAGTGCTGCCCTTGGAAGGCAGCCTCAGTGTGTCTTCCATCACTCAGGGCCCCTCCATGGAGGGGCCATGCCTCTGGTCCATCTCTACCACAGAGCTCAAAGCACCTATGAAAAACCCTAGGGCACCATTTGTGGTAGCACACGCTGGTAGGGTTTGCTGAAGGAAGAAGACTCTAGGGCATGCCGGCAGAGGATCTGACCACTCACAGTGGTTCTCTGGCTACTCAAGAACTCCCTGGGCCTTCACCTTTTGTGTTCAGGGTCAATGAAAGTGTGCCTCAGAAAGTTCCAGGTCTCTGTTCCTCAGAGTCCCAGACTCGACCCAAAGGCACCATGTTTTCAGGACATAACAGGGAGCTGGGTGGTGGTGGCTCACACCTTTAATCCCAACACTCAGGAGGCAGAGACCAGAGGATCTCTATGAGTTTGAGGCCAGCCTGGCCAACAGAGTGAGTTTCAGAACAACCAGGGCTACACGGAGAAACCCTGCCTCAAAACAAAAGTAAGAGGGAGGATGACAGGACATCGGTTCCCTGTGACTCTAAGGGACCACCCACTCAATCAGATCCAGAGAAGTAAAGAGGCAAATGGTTTATTCAGGGAGGGGGAAGCCCAAGCCAAAAGTAGCCCTCCCCACCCCTGCAAGCTGGCCTGAGTGGCCCCATTGGCCTAGAATGGGAGACAAGCCCCCAAACACCTGTGCTGCTGCTGATTTGGCCCTCCCAAAGCCTGGTGACATGGACATGGATGGAGGCTGACTCCCCTGATGCGTGTGCTACCTCACAGGTGACACCACTCTTAGCAGCCCATCTGCTGTCCATTACTATGAAACGCATCCAATTCCATAGAATAAAAGTCTACGGGCAAATTTTCATGAGTGCATTGTGGCCATCAGGGGAACGGTTCCTCATAGTAATGGTGGAGCAGGAGAGCCCATTTTCCTGCTTTGCAGCCTCAAAGTGAACATGGCAGAGCCTCACAGCTGGACCAGGACAAAGCCAGGATGCTGACAGCATCCTTTAAGGTGTGGCCAGGTCAGCTAGGCTTTAGTAAGTGGGATCCAAGTGGACACACAGGGCCTGCCTCCTCCTGACAGGCATGGGCTGCTGATGAAGCATGAGCCCCAGGGCTATAGGCACAGAGAGGTTGCCTTAACTGGACATGGGAGAGCCTGGGCAGGGGGAAAACAGAGGCACCATGTGGACCTGTTGACCAGCTTTGGGAGAGGGTCACAAGAAAGAAGCCCAACTGTCTCTCACCCTGTGGCAGGTAACTTGGCCTCACACAGAAGTCACAGTGACTCTACATCACCAAGCAGAAAAGGAACCCATAGGGGAGCGAAGGAAGCCAGCGTGCCCAGGGGAGGGGGCTGTCAGAGGCTGTGGGAGGGCAGAGCAGGGCTGGGCTCCAGCCCTGCAAGAATGCAGCAGCTGGGAAAGCAGGAGCAACAGGAGAACGGGGTTGTGGGGCTCTTCGCTGAACTCAGGGGGCCTCGTTGGACCCGATCCCGCTGCCTTTGTTGACATAGAATGGCCGGTAGTGAGACTGTGAGGGAAACAGCATTGATTAGGACAACCCGGTGATAGCAGAACCCCCTAGCCAGCCCACCCAGCCTAGACCTCCCTGGCTGGACCACTGGGCCAAACCTACAACCCGCTGTGCCCTGTGCCCTGACCTGCAAGGTCTATCCGCCTGTCTTGCTGCCAGGAGGTGGCCCTTGGTATCACCAGAACTTCTAGGTCCAAATTCCTGCCACTTAGTATGTGAGCTTGGATTTCATCCACCGCCCACAATGTCTTCCTGGTGCCGCCACAGCCACCATGTGCATGAGCACTATGTGTTCTACAAAACTACACAGCACTGTGCCAAGGGCTTTCCATCGACAGACTCGATTAGGTTTTACAACCATCCAATTAAATAGGCTACTGTGATCACGGCCACTTTATAACTCAGCAAATCAATGCGCAGAGAGGCTAGGCAACTTGCCCAAGTCACCCAGCTAGTGAACAGGGGGAGCAGGATGAGAGACCCAGAAATCCCAAGATCCCATCATCCCTGCCCCACCCCGCCCCATTGCTTGGTATCATTCTTGTGTCCCAAGCACTTCACATGTCAGCTTAGGCTCTTTGCATGATCCTCCCTAACAGATGGGTACAGAATGAGCCAACCACTGCCCCCAGCTTACTGTGTCCCCCACCCAATATCCTTAATCGTGAAGCTTGAGCCTCTCTAGCCAGAGCCATGAACAGCTTTCCCAACCTCCTCTCTGGGTCACATCACATGACTATTTCAGGGAAATCAGCCTTTCTCCTTTTGTCCTCCTAATCCCTGCCTCGGGGCTCTGAGAAGTCAGGTTCTCCAGGCTGGAAATGAAGAGCAAAGTGGCAAAGTGGCATTGTCCCTGGCTACGAGAGCACACCACTGGCCGCATGAGGGTCTCAGGAATCAGCCCTGTCCCTAAGTGGGTCAGACATGAAGCTTCTCTGTGCCTCCCAGACACCCCTGGACTGTGACTCTTGCATAGGAGGAGTTGGGCCTAGGCAGTGCCAGGGCAGGAGGGTTTGCAGCCCAGACCTGGGCTAAAGCATTGACTCTAAGGAAGAAACTGAGGCCCAAGAAGGAAAACGGCACGTGGACAAAGTCTTGAGGATGCTCTAGCACAGCAGGGCCTGAAACCATGTTCTCTAGCCCTCGGGTCCATTCCTGGACCCCAAAGCAGTCCACGGGTTAAGGTGAATGGGTTTTCCTTTCAGAATGGCTGGTTCAATAGCATATGGATTGCAGGTCAATGAACATGGCTGTAGTCTGAGAGGCTGGGGCAGTGGGTGAGTAGGGTACTCTTTGCCACCCCTCCCTAATTAGGATCCCAGTATGTGAGAGTTAGAAGGACTGTGAGATCACCCAGGCTGAGGACTTCAAGTTAGAAATGGAAAAGCTTGAGGTATTGAAGATCAACTCATACACGATCACTTAGCAAGCTGGTGATGGCTGGGTCCCAGTTGCCAGGAAGCTCACATCTTAGGCTGGCCTCTGTGCACACTACACTGGCTTCCATCGTCCCAGCACTAGGTGCCAGATACACCACAACCTTGTCCTGCTGGAGCTCTCAGAGGCTGGAGAGCCTTCTCTGTGGGGACTCAGGTCTGGGGGACAGGAATGTATAAGATACGGAGAGGAATGACTTTCTCCCATTATCTACTTTCTACAGTCCTGCTGCTTCGATGCCCTTGGGCCCAGCTGCACATTACACACGCAATCACTTAGCTCCTCTCGCCCACAAATTAAAGAGTTTTTCCAATTAAACCAGCCCCAGCTGCTCTTTGGAGAACAGAGCAAATCCTGTGCTCTGACCTCAAAATGCAAAAGCAGTGGGAGCCAAGAGCTCTGGCCCCTTCTCAACAAAACCGTGATGCTACCTGTATGCTACACTGGTTAGCCCTCTCAGGACCTAGCACAAACCCTGAGAGGAAAACAGTAGGGGAGACGAAGGCTCCAGGGTGACAGTCTCTGACCACTGCTGTTCCCAGGCAAGGGTAAGATGTATCGGGTGTGCAAGGAACGGGGTGAGGGGCAACCTCATTTCATCATCTCATTATAAGAACAAAGTCTTGAAATGGTATGTGGGTCTGAGGTGCCAGCAGGTGGTCTGAATCCTGGGCCACACACAACACTGGTGCTGCTCTCTAATAACCCCAGCTTGGGGTTATTAGAGAGTAAATCCTGATACACGTGTCTAGTGTTCCAGCTCCCCCAAACACACCATCATCCCTAATGGCCTCTATACTATCAGAACTAGAAAGTAGACCCAAGAGTAGGACCCATCTTCAGGATGCCTGTCCAGTGGTCTAAGTATTTTACAATCACACACCTCTTGGAAACCAAGCCACCGTAGTTACACAGTGATAATTACACAGTGATACAAACACTGGCTGCCCAGCTATAGATTCTAAACAGAAGTCAAAGGCAGTGTGTGTTTACCCAGGTCTCCTGCATATAAGCTGTGTGTGTCTCTCTCTCTCCCTTTGCTACATGTGGTTGCTTGAGTCCTTGCTGCCTCCTGTGTTCCCAGTATGGCCCAGAGAAGTCCTCCTCTTCCCACAGACCTTGCACAGTTGCCGGGTCCCTAGACATGCCTGTGCTCGACAGCACCACTCCCCCAACCAAGTGCACATTACTCACCAGCAAAGTCTGCTTGCCAGATTTCCAAGTTTGAGGCTGGGCCTTGGGAGCCTGGCTCCGGAGGATGGAGGGATAGCCTAGGAAGACATGATGCTCCAGTCAAGAGGAGCCTAGGCTGGTACCCAAGGACCCCCCCCCTAGATGGAGCAGCATAGCTGCCTGCCCCAGAGTGACCCCAAAGCATCATCCAGCCCAAGAGCAAGTCCAGCCACCTGCAGAGGTGTGCAACAGCTGGGATGGTGTGGTTGCCAACTGGAAATCCTGGGAGGTTAGCCAAAGGAAGGAGGTGGCGAGGCAGGCAGAAGGAGAAGGAGCCACCCGGGTAAACAGAGACAAACAGCGGGAGAATGTTGTCTCCCAGTTCAGGTCTGCACTACGCTGCCGGCCGGCGTTACTACCCACTTGCCCCGAGGGCTTACCACCACAGACCTGTCTCTTTCCCAGAACCCAGGACAGCCCCTCAGTCAGCAGCCCCAGCCAACCCCGCCCAGAAGGAAGGACTCCTGGCTCTGCTGTGCTATGCTGGGAGTCAGGGTGACATTTCTCATTTATCGAGCCCCACTTGTGCCAAGCACCACGTAAGTGGCTGCCCCTTGCTTGGTCCTCCCATCTCTTCTAGCTCAGCAGTTTGCCTGAGTCATATGGCAGCAAGCAGCTATCAGGATTGCAAACCATGGCTTGCTGGCCTCCAAAATCCATAATCCCATTCTTTCTGCCACAGCTCCCTAGCCGCAGACCAGGAACCCACAGAAGGGCAGCCATTTGCCAGTGTGACTGTCACTCAAGGTTATAACAGCACGTCCAAGGTCCTAACAAGCGCTGTACTTGGTGAGAAGGTGCTAGCCCAGAATGAAGCTGCCTGACACCTCCCTGGCCCTCTGTCTCAGCCCAGGACCCCTATAAAGAACTAAATTGCATAGCACAATGGAAACCCCTGTTCAGCCCACAGGGCAAACAGCAGTGGCTGGGAATAAACTGGCCTGTGACTTGGAGAATGAGAAACTGAGATTAACAGCATCTGTCCTTGGCAGCCACTGTCCAGCGAGGCTGTAGCACTTCCCACTGCACTGAGTGAGAACCCTTGGGGATGTCCCTGCATCTAGGATAGGAACTGCCTGAGAAACAGAAGGCTCTATGGGTCCTGAGTGACAATGAAGAGTGGGAATTAAGACCTCGCCTCTCGGTTTCCGGAAAGAAAAACCCATACCAGTCATAAGAGCTAAAGGGTGGGGACGGGGTGGCCCATTAGAACAGCTTTGGCAGCAGGCAGAAGTCCAAAGAGAGTGAGCTAGGATGGCAGGGGCAGGGGACATGCATCTCTCTCTGGGGAACTCTGAGGAATAGGGACCAGGACACCCTAGAAGTGGCAAAGATCTCCCCCAGGGTGGCCCACCTGCCCTACTAAGGCAGAGGAAGGGAAGGGATGGGAAGAAGGCCGGTACCAGGATTGTTTTTAAACAGCCCACTGCGGTCCAGTGGCTTGGAAAACTCTGCAGTGGCCTGTCCCAAGGTTGTGAACTGATAGGGGGCTTTCCCAGTGCCTGCTGGGAGAGAGAGAGGTGTTAGCAGTATGCGCCTACTATCCAGGAGGCTGAGAATCTAACACCTCACTGGGACACTGTGCTCTTCCATGCTCCACAGCCTTGCTCAGATCTGAGAGCTAGAGCTAGCTTGGCAGCCCCAGCGTTCCCTGTCTGCCTGCGGGTCTGGTAGAGGGTATAGAGAAGGGGGGTTCAGGACTTCAGGCTATCCTTCTCCTGGCATACTGGGCAACCTTTCTAGGCCATTCCTGGTCACCCTGGTGAGTTACTCTGCTCGAGGGTGAGGTGGACTCACTGTATCTGAGAAGAGGCCCTTCCAGGGTGGGCCTTAGCCAGTGGCTCTGTGCAGTCTGAAGGAGAATGTCAGGGAGCTAGGAGCTATTACCATCTGTGTCAGGTGGCCTTCAGGCTAGGCTTGAGCAAGATATAGGTAAGCATGTGTTGGGAGCCAGCATACCAAGGTGAGTCCCAGAGTGTTCCAGGCCTGGCCCAGGGACTGGACTTCTGGAACCCCCTATTCATTCCCTTCTTCATCTTAGTAGCCCAAGAATTCTGTCCTTGAATCAGGCTGTGCCCTAGCCTGGGATGGACCACTAATTGCTAAAGCCACTTCAGAGGCCATTGTGTGCCCCAGACGGCTCCTTTCCCACTCCATTCCAAGGCGCCCAGCCTCTGATCCTCTTGGGACAGGCATTTGGGTGCAGGGAGAGGGGAAATCCCTCCCCATCGGAGCTGCCTCTATGGCCTAGGAGATACAAGCCCTGGGCCTGCTACACAAAGGTATTAATACAAACCACTCCACTATACAACTGCTACAGGCTGCTTCAAGCCTATGTCCTCAGGATGACTACAACCCCAGGGAGTTGGAGTAGAGAGGTAGACCATTAAACCAGTCTAAGACCTACAGGAATACAGTAAGTAGATGAGGGTTAAGTATAGGAAAAGGAGGGCAGCCCCAAGAGGCCTGATCCCTCTCCCCCAGAGGGGCTGCAAGATGACTTTACAGGAAGACTTGGGATCCAGTCAGCTTCTGGGAGTCACTGGGTAAAAATAGAGTTAAGTCAACTCCATAGCAGAGAGGCTGGGAAAGTAATCCAAAAGGAATATTTGGGCCAAGTGGTCAGGGATACCTCTCCAGTCTCTGAGACTTGTCCCAGCTCATCTTTAGAAGCCAGTATGTATGTCACACCCAAGAAACACTGCTGTAGCCCCGCCCCTTCCCAGTTGCACCAAAGGTCTAAGCTCAGTTTCCATTTGGTCTGAGCCCTTACCTCCAGAAAGTGATGGAGAGCTAGTCAGAAAGCGAATAGAGACTCAAGCAGGGCAGCCTCCAGGCAAAGCAAGGGGTGAACTCACCTTTCAGCGAGAAGGAGGAGTTGCCTGGCACAGTGGGCAGGTCCTCAGAGTTCTGAACAGTGGACGAGTACTCCCAGACCCTGGAGGTATAGTTGCCTGGCAGGACAAAGAAGGCATGTCAGACCCAGACAGGCTGGGCTGGAGAAGGAAGGGCAGGACCAGGACAAGACCAAGTCCTTGACTCTTGGTCCCTTTGCTACCTCTGAGGCCAGAATGCCACTGTATCTGCATCACACTTGCCCAGTGTTCCTAGCCTCAGAACAGCAGGGAGCCCTTAACACAACCCAGGATCTTGTGTGAACTGTTCATTCCCACCCGTTCCCACCTGCTTCCTGGAATTCCAGCCAAATTGTGACCTCACTTCCTCCAACAAAGCTTCTTTCTTGCCTTTGGATCCAGAATGGTGTGCCCTTGCTCCCCATTCTCAGCAAATTCATAGAGCATGTCTCCATGTCACCTCCCCCAAGTCCCTGTGTGCCTTTTCCTGCTGTGTCTCATCACCCTGCACCTTCTTGGCCCTGGGCTGCAGTTGACTGTCTAATTGTCCATCTCCTGTGGTTCTGGGGACATGCTTGTTTGGCTGAGCATCAAACCGATGCCTGCCAGAGCCTTATTCCTAGAAGGTACTCGCTGTACATTTGATGGATATGTGTGCTAACTAATGAACAAACAAATACAAACATATCCTATCATTTGGGGACAGAGACAGTTGACAGAATGCCTGATGTCCATCTCATTCATGGAGGTGAACAAGCTATTAGATATCTATGTGAAAGAAGGTTTCTATAGTGTGTAGAAAGAGGAAGTAGGGAGAAATCGAGGGCATCAAGATGACATTGGCGACCCCACTGATGAGGAACCCAGATGGTCTTCCGTAGCAGAGAGCCTTGGGTACCTCCCAAGTCAAGCTCCTTCTGCAGCAGTGCCCACCAGCCTGTGTGTTTCTCTTGTCCCTAATGGATAAATTGGGTGAAACAAGACAAGTAGCTACCTTGAAGTTGGATTTGGGGGCCTCCCCCAGCAAGAGTCAGGGGCAAGGACATGCCTGCACTGAGTCATGCTAGCCATGAAGTAGTTAAAATGAATTATCTTGCCGCTATTCTTTCCTATAGGTATTTTTTGTGTTGGTCACAGCTGTAAATCTTTTGTATGTGGAATGAAGGATAACTAATGTGTGGGCAGATATTCATGCACATATGTAAACATGCTTGTGGAGGCCCAAGATCAACATCAGGTGTCTGTAGTCACTTATCTACCTTGTTTTGGGAACAAGTTTCCTTTTGAACCTGGAGTTTGCTGATTTGGCTAGACTGGTCAGCATGGCCCCAGGATCCTGGTCTGCAAGCACTGAGATTTCAGGCACATGGAGCCATGCCCAGCTTTTGCATATGAGTGGTGGGAGTCAAACTCAGGTCCTTGTGTTTGTGTGGCAAGTACTTTCCCAACTAAGCTAGCTTCTCAGCCCTTACAGCTATGAATCTTAATGACCATTAGAGAAGCCCAGTCCTTGCCCTCTCCACCAGATGGTAGTGGCCTTCTGATTTCCAGGTGTCTATTCTTTATTAAAGAGGCTTCCCAGTGCTGGATCTAGAGCTCCATCCCCCAAACAGAAGCTTCAGGAGTACATAGCCCTGGCCCAGAGTGCAGCAGCCCGCTTAGCACACAAAGCAGGAGACCCTGTATCTGACAGCTATATTTGGGGAAAGCATATCTCCATCCATAACACACCTCTGTCATAAGGAGCCATCATGATGGTGCCTCTGGGATGTTCAGGCACACTTGAGTCATGCCTTCCTTCCCATTAGCACTTTAGATAAATCACTTTAGTATGACATGGCTAGTACAAAAGTCAGCTCAGGTCTGTCGACATTCCCTCCTGATGCTTGCTGGGAAAGGCCCAGCCAACCTCATGATAGACAATCACCCATTTCCCCCCTAATCATCCTTCAGGGATAAAAGCAAATGGACTGGGGGGTTTTAAAGATGCTGGGTTTCAGCAGCTTTTCCCAACATCTAATGTCTAACCAATGACATCATGCACTTCTGCATTAACCAGCACATATGTCCATGTACACACACACACACACACACACACACACACGCGCGCGCACGCCGTGTCCTGACTCCCTATATGCATCTCACACTGGGTAGTCAAGGCATTCAAATTCAAACCAGGCTCAGCCAGCCCTGGTACCCTATGTTCCCTCCTGCACACCTATTTGGGTCCCTGCCTACCCTAAGCTGAGCCCCTCCTACCTTTTGTGCCATACAGATTGCTGAAATTCTTCTGGTTGGTCTCTTTGGAGAGACGGCTGGGCGATGATGGCTGGTAAGCTGTCCGGCCCCCACCTATGGGACAGAAACATCATTGTAAAAAAGGTGAGCCTGACTCAGCTCAAGGCCTGTGACCTCTGACTTGTTGAGGGGAATCCTAGACAGGATCCCAAACATCTCCCTGAGAGCCCACTGGACTCTTCCATTAGGAACAGTCCCTGGGTCTAGCCTGAGGCAGTCACAAAACTCATTGTCCACATGGGGACCCTTCGGGAAGCAGAGGGGACACTATTGACCATTGTCCCAGAGCACTAGAATTCTGGATGGTTCTGGGTATGCTAAGAGGCTCAGTCGTTCTGTTTGGGAACTTTGAGAGCAGGAGGCTGACAAGCCAGCACTTTGCTCCTGAGCCAGTGCCTGACCGAACTGGACTGTGGAGGCTGGGATCCAGGGCAGTAGGAGGAAGGAGAGGCCATGACAATGGTGAGGAAGGGGGCAGAGCCTTTGGGTCCTCATCCAACAGACCTAGCCTCCTGCAGAAGCCTAATGAGCCAGCTGGGAACTTGTCCCAGGTACCAACACAACCTGTAGCTTCTCACCACCCTGCTGCATTATGTTCCCACACAGCCCTGTGTCAAGGCCCTCCGATTGTCTCTACCCCTTGCCTAGACACCATCTACCCCACCCACTGCTGCCTCTCCCAGCCCAGCACCTGCCTGCCTGTTCTCTTTCTGTCACAGTCCTGCCCCCGTACCTGTACTGGGTAGAGAGCCCCCGCTGCCTGAGCCTGGGACTAACTTCTCCAAGGGAAGGGGTCATCATCACTGTGTAACCCCACTGACTCCAAAGCTCCAGGCTTAGCCTGGTAGCCTTTAGTAGCCCTGTTTCCCTGATCCCCCTGACATCTCAGCAGCCTCTCCCTTGCTTCTCCTCTACCCTGAGCCTGAGAGCTGCAGGTATCCTGCCCATCCTGTCCCTGCAGGGCAGGGCACCAGAGGAACCTGTTTCTTCCCACTACAGATGTCACAACTGAGACCCGCCTCAGGCTGGCTCAACCCTGGCACTCTCGGGGAGCCTTTGTGGCGGGTTGCACTGCCCACACCTGGTGGCCAGCAGTGGGGACATTCTGTCCTTGGGTCTCTCTTATCCAGGGAGAATCAAGCAGATTCCAGTGGGGTTTGGACCACCCCATCAGGCTAGTCCTTGACCAGGGGAAGAGCCAGAGACCAGGCTAGGGCAAGGCAGGCAGCTTTTAAGGAGAGGGCTGCTGGGGGTGTGGCCAATGCAGTTTGTCCTTTCATGGAATTGGCTAAGGGCAGAGCCCTGGATAGAGAGGGGACAGGACTGATGTCAGAGCCTAGGTTACCCTAGGAAAGTCAGAGGCAAAAGTCCGGTACCCTGCTACTGTCTAGAACCTCCCAAAAGTCTGAGTGCTGTTTTGAAAGGCGGGGTACAAAACTTCCTGTCTGATGAGCTCACTTCTCTCAATCCCTAACCCTGCCCACTGTGGTTTTATCTGTCTGTCAGTAACTGCCCAGGGCCTCTGGCTCCTCTCTTCAGCTAAGTGCCTCCCCAGATCTTCCTCCTACTCTCCACTCTCCAGCATCCCCATTCCTCTCCAGGGCCCTGGCTCCACATGCACCTGCACAGCCCCTGGACCCTGGGCCTGTGGCCTGGTACACCCGCCCTTAGGCAATAAGCCCTGCTGAGGTTTGTGGCTGGCATCTAAGAATGTTCAGACCCATCCTGAGTCAGGGACAGGCAGGCCCTGACCTAGAGCCCCCAAAGGCTGTCCCCCTAGAGGGTAGGCTAAGGAGGCAGGTGGCTCAAGGGGAAAACACTGAGGGGCAGACTGGCCCTGGGAGCAGCAGCTCTACACAGCTCTGGGTTGCCAGAGGACAGTCTGCGAGATACTCTGAAGGACAGAGGGAGAGACTGACAGACTGCATCGGGGACCAATGCATCTAAAGAGCTGAGTGCTAGATAACCTGTCACCAAACCAGGACATGTGTCACCTGAGAATGAAAGGAAGCACTGATTGCCACCACACAGGGACAGGAAGTAGGCGCCAGACACACTGAGTCATGGTCACTCTACCCAGGAAGAACCTGTCTGAAAGTAACTTAGAACCTCTGCCATTGGTGGCATGCTCTCCCTCACCCTTGGGCGTGAGGTACATGGAGTATCTCTTCATGGTGTCAGGCGTGCTCCACTCATTCCCGTAGCTGCTGGTGTAGCTGTTCATGTAACGATGGTCGCCACCTGGAAGAGAGGAGGGTCAGCAGAGGGACAGGTGAGGAAGAGGAGTTGGTTCTCCGGGAGAATCAGACTCTCTCAGCCTCAGAGGATGTGGCAGCTGTCCATACCAACCCCGCTACTCCAGTGAGCCACTGCTCTTGTCTTGTCCTTGCTAGAGCAATCGTGTGCATGACAAGGAGATACCCAGTGTTGGTGCCCATTCCTTATTTGAGCTGTACATCAGCTCTTGGGCAGGTATGAATATCTCCGCGTTATAGAAAGGGAAATCAAGGCTCTGGAGGTGATGGTAGTGAGATGCCCCTGGCAATAGGACAATCAAGGCAGAGTTGAGATTTGACTCCTGGCCCCACATCTTACCTCAGCCCCAACCACTGACGATAGCATCAGGTAGTGGACTGAGGCCCTGTCTTAGCCTCTGTGGTCCAGGGATCTGGCCAACCATGAGCTGCACACAGCTGCAGGCCCTCAAAGCCCAACTAACCTGTCTCTCTCTACTGTCTGTTAATTCCTGACTTCTGTTTCCTCCATTCTTCCTACTCTCTCAGGTAAGGAGTGAATGGCTCAGACCTGTCCTTCATCCTTATCTCCATCACCAGCATCTAGCAGAATCCTGGCGCACAGTTTGTCCAGCCCTGGTCCCACTAAACCAAAGACCTCTGGAGGTGGCCCTGGTGCCTCTGAGCCCTGGGCCTGTGGGGGTGGGAATGCATCCCTGGTCTGGTAGGCAAGCCATCATCAGGGAGCAACAGAGGGCCGATCCGAGGCTGGACTCATATGCTACCAACTTCCATCTCCTAAACAGATACCATCTAGCCACTAGGCAACAGTGACAAAAATATGACAGGGAAAGGAGGCTTGCCCTGGGCCCGCAGCACAGGTGCAGGGCAGCTGAATCAGCACACCCAGCCTTGCTCTTGGATTCTGTCTCACTACACACCTTACATAGGACGCCGGACCACACCTGCACAGAGACTGTGGCAGGAACCATCATGACCTAGAAATGTGAAAATGAGGCACTAGGAGGCTGGGTGGTTCCTACAAGGCTCAATGACCGCCCTGCAAGGTTTGTACCACAGACACAAAGATGGCCTTCCTCAAACTGCTGCTGCTGCTGTTAGCCCCACTTGAGATGAGATGGCTTAGCAGCCAGTGTAGCAGACCCCCTCCCTGCCAGCTGGGGGCTCTTTGAGAGGCTGCTTCTCTGAGTATCAACCTGGACATCTGCAAGAGGCAGCACCACACAAGGGAGCAGGGAAAGGCCAGGGAAGGAAGGAACTCAGCATAATGCCCACGTCTTGGGAGCCTTCAATCACCTCAGCTGTCACCATCCCCATTAGGATCACAGCGATTGTCATTAGGAAAAGACTGTCAGGATCGGAGTGCCATTTTAAGCCAAATGATTGTCTTGCTAAAATGTCTCATCTGTCCTTAGGTGTGATTGAAAGTCCCCCCATATTTCACAGGGACACTGCATAGTATCATGCCCAGATGGTCCCCTACACACTCCTAGACCCCTCTCCTTGGGGAATAGTGATGTGCTCCACCTAGAGACCAGACAGAATCATTTCCATTGTGTGTTGATAGCTATGAGGTCTTCATAGGGCTGTTTTTGAAGACCTTGCACTGGACCTGAGCTATTGGGGTGTGGCCTTGGAGAAGGTACCCAGGCTCCAGGCCCTATGGGGATTGGGATTGGGTAGAATAGGGCTTAGCAGGGCAGTTCCTCAGGTTAGGAGGCTTTCTGTGAGAGAATTCAGTTGACATCTACAGGGAAAACATGACTCAGAGTAGGAGCTGATTTCAGGGCAGATGAGTCAGAGAGACATGCCATGCCCCATCTCCAATCCACCACCAGGCCAGTTTCAGCCTGTGGACTCAACACTACTACAGCCATGGCGACAGGCCTCCCTTCAATCCCCAATTCTAGGTTACTTCTGAAGCCTGTAACTCATCCATTCGAAGTCTGGTCCATTTAAGCAGCAGCAGTAAACTGCTAGGTTAGACCTGACAGTTAGATGGAGACCTGGATGAAACCAGTTCTTAGTGCTAATGAATGTGCGACAGAGGAGTCACCTGTGCATCAGTTCCCAGACTCTCTCTGCTCTAGAGGCCCTTTATAACAGCTCCCAGTTCAATGAGAGTGCTAGAATCCCTGAGCCCTAGTCTGAACATAGTCCCATGGATGAGTGAACAGGGACCATGAGTCAGCTATCCAGGTTCCTGCCTACAACAAGCAGTAGGAACTGACTGAAGCACTCACAGCCTCAACCCTATGGACAAAGGAGTACCTACCATTCTCCATATGATTCCTCTCAATGAAGTTGCGGCTCAAATCAGCCTTGCACATCTTCTCAACATGGCGCATGCACACATTGAGCAGGTCATCCTTGAAGTTGCCAAGTGACTGCCCCAGGCCCTCTCCCTCCAGCAGGACATGGTAGGTGGGCAGAGGTGGGGGGAGGGAGTAATTGCTCATCAATGCACCAAATTCCTACCAAGAGAGAAAAGCAGCCATTAACTTTGCCAGTCTCTGTGCATTATGGGGACCTTGGTCTGTAAGAGAGCTGCCGCTTTAGCTGGGGACTCTGCACTAAGAGCCAGAGGGCTGAGCTCTAGGATCAGCTCAATAGCTAGTCTTACTTTCCCTCACTTGGACAGATGAGTGAGGAAACCAGCCTTGACTGAATTAGCATTCAGATGAGTGACTCCATAGCTCCCATCACTGATGTGTACGTAGCATACACACACAGGAAGTTGTTTGTGAGAGTGACACAGACTGTGTAGACTTTGGGGAAAGTGGCCCATGAAAAAAATACTAGAACAGTGTGGGTATTTCCATCTTTACAGCCTCACTCAATCCTGCCTCAACACCTCCCTTCCCCCTCCTGAAGCATCCCTCCTCCTTCTCAGCCTGCAAGACCCCATCCAAACTCCACAAAGTTGTCCTTAGATTGCTCCAGCCCGCTGGCCCTTCTCTGGATTCCTATAGGCACTTATCTCCTGAGCCACACGCTTTATCATTTAATTACACACTTTTCCATATTGTTCTCTAATTGTACATGTCTTATCTTCCCAGCTGGATTGCAGCTGCTTGGGGGCAGAAACTGTGTCTTATACTTCTCTATTCACCATGGCACCTGACAGAGTCCTGCATGCCCAGGAGTACCAAAACATTCTGGCAGACAGAAAGATGGATGTATGAATACACAAACAGACTAGATCCAAGATAACAAATTTGCAACACTCTTGTACCGTTCCTCCTTTTCCCAAAGCAGGCATTACTAATTAATCACAGAACTCTTTCTTATCAAGCCTATAGCACTGCTGGTACATAGCAACTGAACTTGGCACAAGGTGACATTTGTGCACCATCCTTAGAGTAGACTAGATAGAAAATTAAATAGATGTAAGGATCAGTAGTGAATGGTGAGTGGGTGGATAGTGAGTAGGTGAGTGTTGGTAATGAATGGATGGGTGGTGGTAGATGGGTAGGTAGGCAATGAATGGATGGGTGATAGATGGGTGAATTGGTAGTGACTGAAGGGGTAACAGAAGGATGGACGGATGGATGGGTGGATGGGTAGATTGATGTTAGGTGGATGAATAGTGAGTGTATGAATAATGGGTGGGTAGATAGCTGAATGAATGAATGAATGGTGAGCAATAGGTAATGGATGAGTGGGTGGATGGTGAGTAGATGAGTAGTGAATGGAGGGGTAGTAAATGGGCAGATAAATGGATGGATTGATAGTGGGTGGGGATGAGTAGTAGATAGGTAGTGAATGGGTAATAGGCAGATGTATGAAGAAATAGATGGATAGTGGGTCAGCAAGTAGTGGGTGAATGTGTAAGGCATGTGTGGATGGATAATGAATGAGAGCCTGAGAAACTGGATGAGATGATGAGAGGACAAAGACTTTGAATGGTGGAGTCTGCTACCTGCAGAAACAGCACTGAGTCACTGATACTGTGCAGCTGCTCCCGGGTCTGCTTGTCCTCGTGCAGCACCTTGGCCCTCTCATCCAAGGCATCCACGATCACTTTCACTTGGTCCACAGCATCCTGCTCCCGCTGCTCCAGTGCAGCTCTTACTTCCTCCTTCTGCTTCTCCAGGTCCCTCACCAGGTCCCTGAAGTTCTGCTCCAGGATAGCCTTCTCATTGGTGGTGAAGCTCTAGGTCCAGAATCAGGGGAAGAATGAAGAAGAGTTGTATTAAGAAAAAAACCCTAGTTTTCCAACAGACTCAAAGAACCCCCAGGGCACTAACTTTGCAAGCCTCCTTGTCCACAAACCTCATTCAAAAGCATCGTTGAAGGATGCCACTTACTGATAGCCATGCTGGTGTGCAGGTTGTTGGTTTGGGTGGATTGCTTTGTTAACACTGTTGTTTGAGACAGGGTCTCAAGTAAAACAGGTTAGCCTCAGACTTACTATATCGGCAAAGTTTTGAATTTCTGTCCCTCCTGCCTCTATCCACTCAGTGCTGGGATTACAGGTGTGTCGCCACATCTGTCTGCAGGTGTTTCTCATACTCTACTCTTCCTTATCTACTGTGGCTCTTTTCCCTCAGTGGGAAACACTGGCCACTATTCCATGCTCTAGTGACTCTCTACAGGCTCAGACAATCTCCTCCAAGTCAGGGTAAGTTTGCTGAAACCCCAAACAGAGCAAACATTATTTGGAAAGTAAATTAGCTGACTGTTCCTGAGGCCAGGCTCCACAGTCACTAACTTCATCCTAGTTTGCAAGTATCTGAGCCACAGCAGACATATTGCTTACTATGCTGGCCCAAGGAAAAAAGAAATGGCATGTATTTAGTAACTGGGTAGTCTGATAAGCAAAGCAGACATTAGAGGATATTGGAAGACCCATTAAAGAATGGGTCTAGGATGTTTGTTTGCTGCTTCAGATGATGGCAAAATCTCATCTAAATGCCTGACCTAGGCTGAGAAAGGAAGAGAGTGGGAATGTCAAAGGGGCTGGGAGGGTCCCAAACAAGGAAGTATGGGAATCACTGTGGGCCAAAGCCTGGAGCAGCACAGAGGTCTGCCTTCTCCCAAGCAAGACAAGCAAGTGAGGGCACAGAACAAGAGCCTGCTCACCTTGATCCGGTCCTTCTCCTTCTGCCATTTCTCAGCCTCATCTTCAATCTCAATGATTTTCAGCTGCAGCTGCTCCTTCTGCAGCGACAGCTCGGTCTGTGAGTAAATGTGAAGGTTGGAATTGTCAGGAGCAGGGAGAGAGGGGAACAGGATCTGAGACCCAGGCTGGTGACTCAACACAAGAGCAAACTCAGGCAGATTCAACACTCATCCATATAGTGCTTCACTCAGCAAATGTTATCAGTACCCCAGATCTGCTGGGCCCTGCACTAGTGGCCACGAATCCAGCCATGCATGGACCATACCTCTGTACTCCTGGATCACTAGAGCTGAGCAGCTCCACCATGGCCTTAAGGGGGCTAAGACTCCTAATCCTTCCCATGTAATGAAGGGTGGGAGGCTCTTGCTCCTTCCAGTGGGCCTAGGGCCATTGGTGAAAGAGAGGATCTGGACTCGACCCAATTCAGCAGAGCCCTGCCCAGGGAGTGGCTTGTAGCAGTAACCCCATGCAACGTTTCTGTGGCATGACGCAGGCCTTGTGTTGCAAGCAAGAGCTGGGGTTGCCGCCGGCACAGACTCAGTCTAGGCAGGCACAGCTGTAAACCTTTTTATAAGAAAGAGAACTCATCTGCAGTGAGATGGGGACTCTTCCCCAGGCTCTCTGCAGGAAAGAATATAGGGTGAGGCTAAGCAGGGGAGGAGAGGAGAGGACCTGAGGCCCCTGTTCGGACACACTCAGACTGTTGGACTTTGGGGCAGCTGGGAAAAGGCTCTATCAGAAGGCCACTAAGACACCAGCTTGGCTTCTATGTGGGGAAAGGTCCCTCTCTGAAAATCCAGCTGTACTGAGGCAGATTGGAAGGTATGAAGCTAAAGCCAAAGCCACTCAATGAATCAAGGGTATTCTTTTTTCTAATGGGCCCCACTGGAGTTCCCAAAGTCCTGTCTAAAGTTTGGAAGGTAAGAGAGTGATCATTCAAGGAAGTCTTGCCTGACTCAGAACTCCCCATAACAGACTCCTCTCTCCTTTTTCTAGCCATCTCCCTGAGGAACCTGTAAGAACAGCCAAGGTGGAGAAATCACATATCATGAGGATGATGAGCTCTCCTGGCAAGTTGTAAGCATCTGGGCCACATCTCGCCAACCTGAGGGGTGCCTATCCAGTGTCTGCAGCAGCGCCTGAGGGGATGCCCTGGGATGCTTGCTGCAAACCTCCAGAGCAGGGCATCCAATGGTAGAAAGGCTCCCACTGGCCTTTTAGAAAGGGCGTCCAGAGGTGGAGAAGGCAGGGACACAGGAACCACAAAGACCCCTAGATAGGAAGTCCTGTTTCCATGGCCACACTCCCAGGCTCCCCAGACAAGAAGACTCAAGATGCTCTCAGTGAGCACCTACCCCACCTCCAAAGTCTGACAACCACACAGCATGGAAAAACGTCATTACCAGAGAGGAAGACAGGCTTTCAGGAAGATATGAGGGTGGGGATTGGCCAGGTCCCTGGAACAAGGCTTGATGGAAGAAACAGTAGTGGGAGGAGAAGAACAAAGAGAGTAAGCCCCCACCCTCCAACTCTGCTCTTTGAGGGTGAATAGTCAGAGAGGCCAGGAAGCAAAGGCTGGCCAAGATAGTGATATGAAGACCTTGTGGTCCAGGCCTGAGCAGCAGATCTGCATCTTGAGGGGTAAAGGGTGGAAGATAATAGGTCTGTCCCAGGAACCTTACCATCCCTAAAGAATCCTGGAGACAGGCTGGAGAGATGGCTCAGCCGTGATAGGGCTAGACTCACAACCAAAAATATAAGAATTCCTGGGGAGACCAGGGTCAAAGTACAGCTGGAGGCCTCCCATCTTCTGCAGCTGAACCTTTTGAATTGGCTCACCTAGAGCTCATGAATAAGAATCCAAGACTGAGACACCTAACCATCACCCCAGGAAGGCTGTGGGGTCTTACAAGTTCCCTAACTTCTCTATGGCTCAGGAGCTTCATCTGTGATGTGGAGATAACCTAAGCCCCCACACCCACCACAGAGATGGGATCAGCAAGAGAAGCTTCCAGAAAGCACCTGACACAGAGTAAGTGCTGACTAAATTATGTCCCCATGGCACATCTACATGGCACCTCCCAGGTGCAGCAAGGCGGTAGGCATGGCAAGTAGGATAGGGACAGGTGTGCTCAGGTGACTCTGCTGTGTTAGATGCTGACTCTGGTACATGGGGTCTAATGGGGTCCAGATATGGTATGGACACAAGTTAGGATAGGCAGGACAGGCTGAGGATGGACAGTGAGTGGCTGAGACATCAGACTTAAGATGTAAGATGTCAGGAATACTTGAAAGTGGAGGGCTCTGAGGAAAGAAGGATGGAGGTAGGACAGGCCAAGGACAGATAAAGCTCTGCAACTGGGAGAAGGCGAAAACTAGAATCAAGAGCTAGGGATGAGCAGTGGCACCAAGAGACACCTGTCAGGGGCTGTGTGGTCCACAGCTGAGTAAAGGGCCCTTCCTAGGAGAATGGATTGTCCAGCCAAGAAGAAGAAAGGAGGTACTGAGTCCAAGGCATAGACTTCAATGCGGCTTAAGCCACAAAGCATCTAAGTCAAGGATAAAGAGTCAGCCCCTGGGAGTCTACTCTATGAAAGGGAGGGAGGTCATGGGCCATCTGAGGTCAGGAGAGAAGAGTGGAGGTGTTGGCCAGCCACCTATGTTGTGAGGACCAGCCTGGACACGTGCAAAGGCAGGATCAGAAGTGGAGACAAGTTGTCTGCAGCAGTGGGCGGTAGCATGGGTCAGGGCTGAGGAGAGACTGGCTCTCCTTTTCTATAGGGCTCAAAGGAAGTGGGACACAGGCTGTGAGGGACCCAGTGCCCACACCACAGTCCACAAGGCCAAACCTGCAAGGCACAGGAGGTCCCTAGGGCTGGGAGTCACATTAATGGCCCCTTCTCCCCTCTAGGATTCCTGCCCCATTGAGGAGAAGGGTTAGGGTCAGATCTCTAGGGATGTGCCTCAAATCTAAATGCTTATCAGTTTTGTTTGTTTGTTTGTTTTCTATACAGGGAGCATCAACAGGGTGTGCAAACACACCATGACTACAGAGGGAAGTAGTCATGGGGCCACTGAACATCTTCTATAAGCCAAAGACCCTGTGAAGGTCCGTGGTGTTAACCATGCTTCCAAGATGTGGCCACCAAGGCCAGGAGGGACTATGTAGCTGGCCTGAGTGTGCACAGTGAGAAAAATGTAAAACCAGATACAATCACAGGGTTACTTGTTATTCTGTGGCCCTCAGAGGCTCCTCTGGGGCAGCAGTCTAGAAAGAGACCTTGTCCTTCACCCTCCTACCATCTTCCCTACCCACAAAGGCTCCAGCTTCCTCTCTCCCACTCCCCCTCCTCCCACAGGCAGCCCAGCTGTGACAGGCCTTGGCTCCCCAGTGCTCCACCCCTCCCCATTCCTCCCTTCTAGCTCCCTCCCACTCTTCGCCTCTTCCCCTTCACCCTGCCCAGGCCTGTCCCTAAATGCTTCCTTTGTTCCCTTCTCCCACACTGTCTGGGGCCTCTCCTCTCTGATGGCGGGGATGACACTTGTGTGGGTCACCCAGCACTGAAATTCTTGTGGCCTTGAATGAGTAGAGGTCCCCTGAGAGTATAGGGGTGGCACAGTGTGTGAGCTTCAGCCCAGGTTGACCATCAAGTGTAGACATAATCGAGCCCTGGACGGGCAAGGCCCCCCAGGAGAGGAATCTAACCAGCCAAGATCTTCCATCAGCCTGGACTAACTGTATGGGCCTTGGGCTGTGACATTTGCCAAATGAGCCAGTTAATTGCCAAATTTGTACTCCCAGACACATGGTAATTACCTGGATAAGAATCTGAAATGCTGAATAGATTTCATATTTCTATGCTCCCATGTCAAACGGCCCTATGTCTGTCTGACTTCATTGAGGTCCCCTTCTCAGTCCCTCTGCTTCCTCACAGCCTCAGGTCAGAGGAAAGTGCTGACTAGAGTGAGACACTTCATCCTGGCATCTGCAGACCAGCAGTGAACTCTGCAGCCATCGCTGCCTGTCCCTTAGCTTCAGTTTCCTTGTAGTGAATTGGGCTACCTTCCCCTGCCAGCTATACATTAGAATCCATGTAAACCAGAACCTCCTGGAGCAAGGCCTGGAAGTCTACGTTCTAACAAGTCATGAAGTGACCCCAACTTGCAACCTGTTGTTTGGAGGCCCTTGGATTTGATGATCACAAGAAGACTCTTTCAATCCTGCTGGGAAAAGAAGTTTGAAGCGGTGAAGAAAACTCCCAGCCCCTCTGCTCTTCCCTGGCCTTTGTGCTAGTCTCTGCATCTCTGAGCCTGGTATGGTACCCCACCAGACTGCTTCATTTGTAACCATGCAAATGCCAAGCCCAACCCTGGCCCACACATGAGCTCCGTAGAAACTGGATCACCACCCACCCACCTGCCTGGTTCTCACTTTCCACTTGTTTCCGGTCTCTAAATCTCTCATTTGATTGATCCCCTTCAGCATCCAGCTGATCATGCCCCTGTCTTATGTTCAACATTCTCCCTGAAAATGCCCAGAGAGATTCAAGGTACCTGGATCCTCTTCCTGAATCCCAGTCCCCATTATTGCTCAAAGAGCTTTCCTCCCCCACACCAGCACAACAAGAAACCTAAGGATCCAGTGGCTGCATTAGCCTAGTCACCTAGTGGCTCAGCCTCGTTCAGAGAATTGGGCAAGTAGATGAGAAATCAAGCCACAGGGCACAGTAAGATGCTGTCTACAGTGTGGACGAGTCACTGAATATGAGCCCCTTTAGAGTGGCTCTCCAGCTCGAATGCAGTCAGCACATGCCTTCTTATGCCAGTAATATTGTCAACCCAGAGACCATGTCAAATGTGCCTTAAGACAGGGCCACCTAGAGCAGGCAGCTGTAACAGGAGGGACTTGGGTTGGGTAGGGAAGTTGATGGATAAATAAGATGTTCATTTCCCTCTTCATCTCACCTCCTAACAGCCTGAGAAAACCCAGAGAGACACTTGGGGCATTGGAAGTAGAGAGGGAAACACTGGGGTCCACTAGAGGAAAGGGTCACCATATGGCAAGCCACATGACCTTTTCCCAGCAGTCTGTGCTCCAAGTCTGTACGCAGAACTGCGGTTTAAGGGATGCATGCCTGTGGCCACCGGTGTCATCTTCAGTTTTGTGCAACCACTCAGACACTGCTTAGTGACCTCATCCAGCCTCAGCACAGGCTGGTGGAGCTGGTTCTGCCTGCTTCCTTGCACGAAGTCATGTGGGAGCTGGTGTTTGAGTGTTTCAGAAGCCTTCAGAGGATGCCAGAATCTGCTTCACATCAGTCTACCAAACGACCTCCCCTGTTCTGGGTCAAAGCCCCCCAAGCCCAGCATGCCATTAGAGCTGGCCCTAGACAGACTGCTTCAGTGCTGCTTCTGACTGCTCCATCCCACTCCTCAATCTATCCTTGTGTTGTACAGTACACACACAAGTAGTATACACACAAAGGTACCGCAAGTTCCAACCATAGCAGTCACTCTGGGAACCCATTCCCTTCCAAGGTGACCTCAAATATTGCAAGAAGACCTAGGCACATTTTTCTCCAGCCATAATGTTAGCCGGGTTCCTTCCTTTCCTTGGGTGTGTCCCCCAGTCTGTGAAGTAAAGAGTAGGCCTGGTATTCTCCCTCTGCAATTGTGTTTATGCTTCTGCATACCTGGGAGGGTGTCCTGTCTTGTTTGTGTCTGAGCCTACTTCCTTGCCTATATCACAAGCTTTTGAGGCCAAGGACTCTCTGAGCCCTATAGCATCCCCTGACTGAGAAGAGCTACTTGGAGCACTCTGTGTCTCTAGGCCAGGCTGCCCACACCTTCCTGCTCCTCCCCCGCCCCCAGATCCAGCTCTTCTATGGGCACTTACATTGGAGCCTAAGCTTGCGCAGGAAAGAGGTCAGTGTATTCTGCTGACTCTCAGTGGAAGCAGAACCTGAAACATTTGTTCCCTGGTCCACTTTGTCACCTCCACACCCTAGAGTCCTCAGAGATGTTTCTAAGAATCCTGGAGCGCCACAGAGAAATGTGAAAATAGTCTAGTCCATCCCTCAGTTTCACGAAGAGGGAAATGAGCCACTCACTGTCTTGGTGCTAGAGACTGACAGTCTCCTCCCAGCCAGCCTGCCTCATTCCTAGTGTCCTTCATTCTGATTGGAATTGCAAGCACTGTCTCCAAGAATGGGCTTCATGCTCCTGCCCTCTGTTGTCTCCCATCAAGAAGCCAAGAGCCAGGCTGTGGCCAAAGGATGCTGGAGTCAGGAGACTCTGGGATCAGGGGACAGGCAAAACTGAAGACACCTTTGAGAACCAAATGAAGCTTCTAAGAGAGGGTGTCTGATTCTGTCCCAACCTGTGACTCAGCACCTGCTGTCCCAGGGGTAGGAGCAAGAGACAGAGAGTGACCAGCAATCGCATGACCAAGGCGCTGGGCAAGGAGAGACCCTCTGCTGCTTGAGGGTAGCCAATGAGAAAGTAAAGCCCTGGCACTGGCCACCAGGAAGCTTTGTCCTTTGTGAGGCAACATGCAGCTGGGTGACTGAACTCAGCAAGGGACAAGGCCAGTGGTCCCAGCTGGGCCTTAACCCAGAACACCTTCCCCAGGTGCATCACAGGCACAAGTCTCCACTTGCTTCTGCTCCTCCCTGTGGAAGTACCGCCTCATCACACACAGGGAGCCCACACAAACACACTTACGTAGCCCCCACAGAAATATGGGCAGACACCCACATTCGCAGACACCCGCATGCGTATAAAGCACACATTTACATCCACCCACCCACACATGCTCTCACTCCAGTGTTGTCCATCCACAAGCACAGACCTGTCGGCTAAAGCCACACAAACAAAGCACACAGGGCCCAACTGAGAGCAGAGTAAAGAATGCCAAAGTGGGGGGGGGGGGTGAAGGGAGCGGCTTCAGGACCAAGTAGAGCAAGCGGAGTAAAGGGTGCAAAAGTGGGGGTGGGGTGGGGGCTTGTTGAAGGCAGTGGCTTCCAGGTTAGGGCAGATTCAAGTAGCCCCTGGACTGCAAATGCAAACCTGGAGCCAGCAAAAAGGGTATTTCAGGAGCCCTTAAGTCCCCTCAGTATCTCCCTCACTCTTGACCTACTCCCTAGGGTCCCGCTCAGTAGGGAAGAGATTTTCGTCCATGGAGAGAGACAGAGACAGAGAGACAGAGACACACACACACAGAGAAAGAGAGGGGCCAAGTAGAGCCCAGGAAAGAGTTCAATACAGTTCAATTTTACACTGTTCTGACTTAGTTTTATCTGGTGAGCTTGTTCCAGCTTCTAATCTTTCTGGAGTTTCTATCCCTCACTTAGGGATGCCCCTCTCCCAAGATCTTTGGCAGTTAGAGTGACCTCTGACCTCTGACTGGAGGTGCAAAGAGGGGGAAGAAACTTGTCTTCTAAAAAAAAAAGCAGAGCACAGTGGAGATAAGTCCCAAGTGAGGGTCAAGGAGGGAGGGGTTAAGGGGGGAGCAGCGTGGGGCCTGTTAAGTCACCTCCTTCTCAGCCTTGGCCTCCTCCACGGTCACAGTGCTGTGGTTCTTGTGCTCCTGGAACATGCAGAGGTAGCAGATGCAGGTCTGGTCGGTCTGACAGAAGAGCTCCATGGTCTTGCCATGCAAGGGGCACTTTCGGGCCTCGAAGTCCCGGATGGGCTCGAGCAGCTGGTGGTCACGGAAGGCGGCACCCTCCAGATGGGGCTTCAGGTGCAGCTCACAGAAGGAAGCCTGGCACACCAGACAGGACTTAACGGCCTTCTGCTTGTTGCCTATGCAGGAGTCGCACAGCACCTCCTCAGAGCCAGACTTGGACCTCAGCAGGAGGCTGGAGTCAGCCCTGGGGTAGCTATTCCTGCGGACTTCTCCGGGCTCTACGATGGTCACCGTGGGTTTGCGGGGCTCAGAGAAGATGGACTTTCGAAGCTCCCCCTTCTCAGCAAAGGTCACAGGCGGCTTCTTGGAAGCCCCCAACTGGAGCCCCGCATAAGGAGACCTCCTGCCTTCCGCAGAGTCCATGCTGAAGTAGTTGGAGCCTTTGTCATCCACTGACTCCACAAATTGGATGATGGGCCTGCGCCACTCATTGCTGGAAAACAGCGCACTCTTCCCCTCCCCTGACTTCAGGGCACTGCCCAGGGTTTTGCCCTCTGTCACCTCCCCACTGTGCCCGTTGGTTGTCTTGGTATCTTTGGTGTCTGCTTTAGTGCCATTCTCCAGGCTGCCATTGGGACCCGATGGGCTGCGAGCGTCCCTGGCTTCGGGGCTGGCCCCATTGCTCCTGGAGGCATCGGTACCTTCCATGGCAGGTCCCTTGCTGGCCTGTTTCTGCTGGTTGGGGTCTCGTGGTAGGTGACTTCAGCGGGTCTCAGGCAGGGAGTGGGGCTGGCAAGCAGAGCACAGGGACACACCTGTGGGGAGGAGAAGGTGGGTCAGGAGGAGGGGCCATAGGAGGAGCAACCTGACACAACGGGCCCAGAGAGAGACAAGCTGGCAAAGAGACTAATTACCTGGGCCACGCCCGCACATTCACGCCCAGCCTGGGATTTTTAAGTGTTTTTTTTTTTTTTTTTTCTCCCAGTTTTATTGCTCCCCACCATTGACAACCAGTTTGGCTGCTTCTATCTGATGCACTTCTAGCAGGGAGGGGGAGCCTCTATCCTCACAGCAGGGCAGGCTTTGAGGAGGCAAGTTGTCCCTGGGGGCAGAAGGTGAGGTGTCCACGGAGGTCCATGGGACAGAAGGCTCTTAATTGGGTCACACAAGCCAAATCGCCTTGTAATTTGCGGGCTGGGTATCAAAGGAAAGCCTCCACCCTGGGACAGCACATCCTGAGGGAGCTAGCTGTGCTGGGTCAGATTTGGAGGTTAGGACTTGAACATGACTGATTCTAACCAATTTGCAGCTAATGTCTTAGGTATTTACATGTCTAAGTTTATTTGAGCCTCCCTACCATCCACAATCATGTCGTGCACGTGTGTGTGTGTGTGTGTGTGTGTGTGTGTGTGTGTGTGTGTTTCCAACATCTTTCTCAATTGCTTATCACTTTTTTTTTTTTTTTCACTAAACCCAGGAGCTGGCCATTGGATCTGCCTGCCTTCTTCCTGGCAATGGGACAACAGACACATATACCACATCTAGCTTTTGCATGGTGCTAAGGCTTGAACCCAGGTCCTCCTGATTGTAGGCAAACACGTCACCCACTGAGCAACCTCACAGCCCCCAGCTGTACATTCTGAAACACAGGTGGCCAGGTGTTAAGAAGACTCTGGCTTCAGCCCATCATAGGGCTGGAACTGGAGTCTGGGGCTTTAGAGATTGTTCAGGCTTCTCTTCTACTGCTTCTTGGAAGCACCTAAATATCTCACTAGAACATAGCTGCTGGAGGCTTTCCTGTGCCCATAGCCCTGAGAGAATACACACAATGGCCTTAGGTACCTCCTCAGGGATCAGAAGTTGCTGGAGATGGAGGGTTGGCTGGGCCAGAGGCATGGCAGTAAAAGGAATCTTAGCAATGGCAGCCAGGCAGATGGTCCTCAGAACCCAAACACTTTAGTCTCTCCCTCCCTTCTCTACAGTAGGTGTGAGGTGTGACTCAGAAAAACCTGGACACCTGCTCAGGGCTAGGCCATATGTTATAACATTCAAAATGAGGCAGGACAGTGTGGGACTCAGATAACTCTAGAGACGTGAGAACTGCCAGCTCTCTTCCTCCCTCAACCCCTAGCCAAGCACCAGAACCTTCTAATCTTATAGGATACCTGGAAACAACTGCCCCACAGAGTACGGAATGCTCCCATCCCCCTTAGGGATGAATGGATGGATAGATGGATGGACGGATGGATGGATGGACAGACGGATGGGGTAGACTGTGGGTTTGGCTGGGGTACAAGGTTCTGGGGGTGTATGAAGGGAAGGGTCTCCTTTCCTTCCCTTCAAATGCAGACTAACCCTTGAGAACCTCACCCCTTGACTCAAGAGCCTGACAGTTACTCCTTTGTTATCACAGCCATGGGAACAGGACAGACATTCTTGGCTCACAAAGTAGCCAGAGTTAAGAAAAGGGGTGTGTGTGTGTTGTGTGTGTGTTGTGTGTGTGTATGTGGTATGTATGTGTGTGTTGTGTTGTGTGTGTTGTGTGTGTGTGTTGTGTGTGTGGTGTGTGTATGTGTGTTGTGTGTATGTGTGTGTGTTGTGTGTGTATGTTGTGTAGTGTGTGTTGTGTGTGTATGTTGTGTAGTGTGTGTGTTGTGTGTGTGTTGTGTGTATGTGTGTTGTGTGTATGTGTGTTGTGTGTGTGGTATGTGTGTGTGTTGTGTGTGTTGTGTGTGTATGTTGTGGTGTGTGTGTGTGTGTGTGTGTGTGTGTGTGTGTGGTGTGTGTGTTGGAGGTGGGAGTGCTGGTTTGTTCCTGTCCTGGAGTCTCATGGAAACCCCTCTTATTTGAACTCACTGATGGCTTACCTAAGAACTCAATGTAGATTTCTGGGTTGGGGAACCTATTGTCAAAAAGCTGGACCCAAGTCTATGTCATGGCTCAGGATTTTAATCTTAGCCATTTGGGAGGTAGAGGCAAAAAGATTGCCACAAGTTTGAGTCTAGCCTGGTCTACATAGTAAGTTCCAGCCCCCCCCCCCCAACCCATCCAAACATAACAAAATAAAGAAAAAAAAAGGAAATGCAAAGAAAGGGGGCGGGGAAAAGAGGGAAGGCCAGGTCAGTGTCACTGACTATACTCTTGCCTGAGGTCTAGGAGAAGCAGGGAGAGGCTGTCCTGGTCTTTTGGTGGAGACATGCCCCCTCCTCATCCCCTGAGAGTCTTCCCATGGAGGAACTAGATGAGGAGGAGGAAAATGGAAAAAGAGCAAGAAAAAACAGAAGTGAAGTCACCGGTTCCCCAATCAATGGCTGTTTCTGGTCTTTAGAGTTCATACTCCTGCCCTCCCCCACTCTCCATAGTATCCCTCTGTGGGGAATGGGCTCCCAAAGTCCCATTCGGAGAAGTACTCTGAGCCTTAAGAGTAAGCAGGTACACAGAAGCCCAGACCAAAAAATAAACCCAAACAAAACAAAACCTCTGTGGGTAGGTGGATGGATGAAAGAAATCAAAAAGATGAATATGAGTAGAAATGGATGGGTGGATGGATGGACAGATGATGGATGACTAAACAGATGAATAATTGATAAAATAATTGGAAAAAGAGGTAAGAGGAGGGCAGGGGAGAGGAATGGAAAATAGAAGGAAGGAGGGAAGAAGGAGTAAATATAGACAGTTTGCAGTTGAATGAGCATCTTGCAAGCATTTGCCAGTGGGAGCTTGGCACCTGCTTGGCCCTGCAGGAGAAACCCTTGGCCTGTGGACTTTCTGCTTCCTCACACTCTCCTGCCTCCATTTTGAGGTGTCAATCTGAAGCTCATCCCTAAGGTGCTGATAGCAGCACCTGGTGCTCTCATGGACCAGTATGAGCCTACTCCAACACATCCCAGCCTTGGGCTGGTGGACAGATGATGGAGGTACACAGATGGTCTGGAGGAAGATGGGTAGATGGCAGACCCTGGAGTAAGCCATTCTCGGTTATCCTAAGGGAAGGGAAGCAGGTTGGAAAGCTTCAACAGACATGGGATGAAGAGATGCTATTCTCTCTTCCAAGAGGCGTTCTCTCTGATCTGAGACCTCAGTCCAAGCACCTGCTTGTCCTGCAGGAGACATCTAGCTGAGATGTGCCTAAGTTGGTTAGTGTTGGTTCTTTTCCCACCTACTCCTGAGCCCTACCTTGCACCTGGCATTGAACAGGGACCCATCACACATATAGAAAGGAGTTCTTGATCTGCACTGGGGAGCTTGCAGTGTCATGGAAAAGAATAAGTAAGCCCTTCAAATTTGGGGTTAATGGCTCATAAGAGAACAAGTACAAGGATGCCCAGAGGAAGGAGAGCCCAGACCATCCTGAAAATGACCTCTTAACCACCAGGATGAGCCAGTTCCTGGTCCTTCTCAAAGCACCCTCACTGTCTTCAATTTCCCTAGCAGGTGCTTGCAGAGCTAAAGCAAGGAGGCGAGGCTAAAGCTGAAATTGTAACTCAGTAGGGAGGGTACTTGCCCAGCATGCATGCAGCCCTAGGCTCCATCCTCAGCATAAACTGGGCATGGTGATGTATACCTGCCATCCCAGTGCTCAGGAGGTGGGAGAGGAGGATCAGAAGTTCAAGGTATTTCTCAGCTACTTGGAGAGTTCAAGACTAGCCTGGGCTATGTGAAGCTCCAGCACTGAGGTGGAGGAGGGGCCCAGAAGTCCAGGAAAAGGTGAGTACTCCTTCACTCTCCCAGGCTTCCCACTCTGGCTCTGCATTTGTGCCCACTCAAGGACTTGACTACACCCAAGTGCCTATCTTCCTTCTGCAACCTAGAAAAAGTCATTTCCTGATGGCCCTCGGAACCTATTGTCACACACAAACTGCAAAAGGCTCCCAGTGGACCAAAGCAAAAGGACCTTTGTACTTCAAAAAGTCTTTAATGAAAGGACAACCATTGTGGTGCACACCTTCAATCCCAGCACTAGAGGGGTCTTTGTGAGTTCAGTGCCAGCCTGGTCTGCAAAGTAAGCTCCAGCATGGCCAGGGATACACAGAGAAACCCTGTCTGGAAAAACCAAGAAAAAGAAGATGGGGGGGGGGGAGGGAAGGGAAGGGAGCCAAGAGTGGACCTCCTCAGGTGTTCATTGCCTATCTTATCCTGCCCTCACTCTGGTCTAGCTTAAAGCCTATAGTGGAGTAGAAGTCAATGCTGGATCCTCCCTTTGTAGCTTCCAGAGAAGAATCGGCCTTATGGAGCAGGGGTGACTTGTGTCTTCCCTGGCTGTCTCAGGACAAATGCCAGTCTGCCCTGCCTGCCAACCCCAAAAGGGCTTCCTACTCCCACGCCCACCTGCAGCTGACCCTGAACTCCTCCCAAAGTCCTTTCAAGAGGAAGCTAAAAGCTGGTCTCCCTCCAGCAAGCCTTGATTCAGTGGGTGGATCCGTCTCCTCCTCCCACTATTGGTAGCCTGACTGCACCTGACTCTGCCACTAATCCTTCCCTCAGGAAATAACAAAACCCCTTAAAAGGAATCATTTCCGCCACCTTCCTGGGAACCAGAAGATGGGAGGGGAGTGGCCACAGGACCCTTCCTCTTGCCTTTGGATAGCACTACCTAGAAAGTCTTTTATGTATATGTCTCTTGAAGGATGGCAGACCATTTAAAACGGGGAAGGAAAAACTTTACAGGCTTCCCCAGCCACTCATTCCAAGCTCTGAGAACTACCTTGACTTCAGGCAGTTCTTCTTTGTGTCTAGCTTCAATACACTAGTGACAGTGTACTGTGCAGGTGGAGTAGGGGAACCCAAGTTTTGGTACTACTGA